TTAAACTAAAAGTATATCTTGCCAAAATATTATAGGAAGTACTGAGGTTTATTTTTTTCTTTCATGGCTTACTTTTGATTTTAAGACTTCAGGAACTGGAGGGAAGTAATCCTCATAGGAACCATTTCGAAGAAAAGATTTTCTAAATCTTATTGTGGACTGAAGGAGTCTTATATTTTCTGTAAAGGAGGGGAGAAGAGTTACTTTATGTGAATGGCAAGGTCATTTAGGAAATCCATTTGAAAGACACCTCTATCCTGATTTATTACTAAATTTTTTCTATGATAACAGCTTAGTTCAATATAAATATAAGACGAGTAAAAGTTTAACCTTTATTTGAACCATGGGGACAATAGAGTTCATTATTTTTAAAATATTCATAGATATTCTGCTTAGAGATAAAAATATTTCTAGCAGAGGTACTGCACAGTTTTGGCTCTTTGTGAACTGAATATGCTTTTATTTCTGACTTTTGGACATACTATTCAGTTGAAGTGTTTTGGGGAGAATAGGTTGTATCATCCCTGTGATGTAAAAATGCCCTTCCAACCTGATTAATTCAGGCCTGGTGAACAAAGACCAGGTTTAAATATTTGTTGTGCTATTTGCCTGCCATTAACTCTCAACAAACTACTGTGGTATAGGACAAAGGAATGTGTGTCTCCTAGAAAGGATGAGAAAATAGATATTTCTTCTTATGAAAAGAAACAAAACATTTGATTAAATACAATCTTTGCAGTTGCCCATGTAGGCAGAAAATTGAAAATAAAAGGTGCGTGAGAATAGGAAGTAAAAATAGTCTGCCACAAAGATGCCTTTGTTGATGTCATTTACAACTGCTTTTAGAACTCTGTATTAACATTCTTCATTATTTTTTAACAACTGAGATTATTACGAGCATAGAAATTATTGTGAAGGGTTATGTGATCCTCTAATGACTCTGAACACTTGGAAAGTTTGTCCAGGTGGTCATCAACACATTATCCATTATACGGCCATTATAGTAAGATATTAAAGTTTGTCCAGGTAACCAGGTGGGACTGGCAGCAGCAACAGAATAATATAATAATATGATTAGATATTCCCTTCATTCATCAAATCACCAAATTGAAACTGATGTATATGGAAACTAAGATTTTAAAAATTTTCTTTCTTTTGTAAGCGAATGTCTTAAAAGACTTACTACTTTAGGACAGAATTAGAAACCACGGGCAGTGTTCCGACAATTGAGAAGATCATTACCTGGTGATCCCCTGGCCAAATTGTCAGTCACATTTCTCACACATGCCAAGTAGGGAACATAAGGACTATTTGCTGATATATTTAAGAGTGCGTCTTCAAAGTTTTCCAGGATCAGGAGCCTATAGAATTAGAAAAGAATATATTCAATGCAATCCCTATTAAAATACCAACATCATTCTTCACAGATGTAGAAAAATTAGTTTTACGCTTTATATGGAACCAGAGAAGACCCTGCATAGCAAAAACAATTCTAGGCAATAAAAACAAAATGGGAGGTATCAACTTACCAGACTTCA